GCGGGCTCAGGGCGCGCGGGGCCTCGAGCAGCAGGGGCTGCAGGCAGCGCAGGGTGGAGAGCTGCACCCCGCGGTCCGGGCACGACAGTGCCTCCAGCAGCAGTGGCAGCAGCTGGGGGCGGCACAGAGCGTGAGCGGTGCCTGCGGCCTCCCAGGCTTCCCCCACACCCGCCCTACCCCCCCACTCACCGTGGACAGCTCCGTCACCAGCACAGGCTTGGGCAGGTGGTTCAGCACGTGCGACAGCCCCTTCAAGTAGTTAGCCTTCACATCTGCAGGGAGCACGGGGGCCGCAGGTCACAGCTGGGCATGAGGGCCAGGCCCCCGTGCAAACTGGGGCGACAGATAAGGGCGGGGGCTTACCGGAGTGGGCAGCGTGGAAGCCCTGCACCAGCCGGGGCACGTTGTCGGTGAAGAAGCGTTGGCGGTACATGAGGCGCACGTCGGCGTGGCAGCCGCGGTGCAGCACGTCAGGTGCATCGCCCAGCAGGAGCCCCAGCCCCTCAGCTGCCGCCGGGCCCAGCTCTGCATCCCCCAGCAGCGCCAGCACCTGCGGGCAGAGGTGCTGTCAGGCCCTGGCCCTCCCCGGCCTCTCCACCCCAGCCTGGCCCCCCCAGCCCCTCACCTTGTCTGTCAGGCGGGAGCTCAGCGGGTGGTAGCGCAGCACCAGAGCCTTGGTCACCTGCAGGGGTAGAGAGCAGGGGTTGGGGGTGCCGAGGGGGCAGAGCAGGACCAGACCGCCCCTCCCAGTGCGGGCGCTGCTGTCCTTACCCAGAGGAGCAGGCCGAGGGCCTGGGTGCGGCGGGGACCCTCGGCCAGGCCTGGCTCCAGCCGGTTCAGCGCCAGCTGCAGCACCTCGTCCAGCTGCAGCCCTGGGAGACAAACAGGGCAGGGTGGATGTGCCCCCTGCATGGGGCTTCCCGTGTGCGCAGGCACGCGTGTGAGCCCCCACACTCACCTTCTGGGTGCTTGTTCACCAGTCCCGCGAAGCACTTAGCGGCAGCCGTGGCGGCAAAGGGGCAGTCACAGGCGCAGCTCAGGGCCAGCAGCTCCCCCAGGAGCCGGTCCTGCTGGGGGATGGGCACCTGCGGGGCAGACATGCTGAGACTGAGACCCACAGGCCCCCCCCCGCAAGTGCCGGAGGGACCCAGCCCCTCAGGCCCACCAGAACCCCCCGCACTCACGTTCCTGGGCAGGGAGCAGATGAAGGCCATGAGCAGGGTGACCAGGCGTCTCTGCGCTGCTAAGCAGGGCCCGTCCTGCCAGGAGACAGCGTCCACATCAACCCTGGGACTCACCCCCCAGATCCTTCCTGCATGCCCATCTCCAGCCCCCTACCCCCTGGCCCTGCCCCACACACCTGGAAGGGCTGGAAAGAGCAGGGGAAGCTGTTCTGGGGTAGGAAGGAGACGTCCCCGTCCAGGAAAAGGGGCACTATGAGCGCCGCGCTCTGCACCGCCAGCCTGGGCAAGAGCAATGTGGTGGCTCAGCGTTGCCAGGCAGAACCACACAGGAGCCGGGCAGAGCTGCAGCAAGGCCGCGGTGCTCAATCCCAGCACCGCCAGCAAACGCGTGCCCTGGGCCCCCTCCCTGCCTGCAGGCCCTGCACTCACTCGGGGCTCAGGTGGGTGCTGGCGGCGCTGATGACGGGCACCATGGAGGTCAAAGCCTCCTCCTCCAGCAGCGCCTTGCCTGGCGCCAGGAGAGCATCCTCTGGGGGAAGGGTGAGTACCGGATGGTCAGAACCCGCGGGGCCTTGGCCCCTGCATCCAGGGAGACCCTGATCCAGGCTATGAGGACCCGGTGAAGGGGCACGAGGGGAACCAACCAGCCCCCCACCCCCAACTGCAGCATCATCCTTGCACCCAGACCTGGCAAAGGGGGTGTCTCTGCTCTCAGCCGATGGTCCAGGCACCAGCTGGACGCCTCAGGCCCGAACCCAGGAGCCCCAGCCCGAGCCCAGCCCCACACTCACCTTGCAGGGCAGCCTGCAGGGCCAGGCCCAGCAGACAGGGCACCACGGCCTGGTGGTAGAAGCTGCAGCTCTCGGGGTCATGCTGGCTCTGCACGGCCACGCGGTGCAGGCTGTGGCACAGCAATGCCATCTTCCCAGTGTCCCCTGGCTCACTGCCTGCAGGCAAAGGGCCATGAGCACCCCCTCTGTTGCTGGCCCCCCCATACCTCCCCTCCCCCAGGCCAGCAGTCCCCCCGCCAGCCCTGCCAGTGCCCTTCACTCCTGACCCACAACCCCCTGCCCCCCAAGTGTCCCTCACTCCCACCCTGCAGCCTCTTAGCTCTGTGGGGGCCTTCACCCCAAACGTGCAGTGCCCTGAGACCCACTCCTGACCCACAGCTGCCCAACATCCTAGCCCCTGCCAGCCCAGCTCAGTCCTGGGTGCCCCCCTACAGCCCGCCCTGCTGCGGGGGTGCTGCACAGTGCGGCCACATTACCTCTCTGCAGGTGGCGGAGATGCTGCAGCAGGACGGGGACGGTCTCACACACAATGCTGGGGTGGGTGGACACAGCAGCCAAAGCCTGTAGGCAGCGCTGGCGCCGGGTGCCCTCATCCTCCCGCTCTGGAAGGCACGGCATGGGGTGGGGAGGCTGGCACCAGAGCCGTAGCTGGGACCCCACCAGCCCTGGGCCCCAGGGCAAGCTGCTGCGGGCACCAGTGGGCTTCCTGTTCCTCCCTCCTGCAAATGCCTCTACAGACCCCTCCCCACGTGGCCCTGCTCACAGCACACGGCCTCAGTCCCTAGCCCTGTACCTGTCTGCAGCTCCTGTGCCAGTGCCCGCACCATGTGGTCTGTGAAGGCCCCGGGGTGGGCAGGTGCCAGGGTGCCTGCGGCCTCCATCGCTGCCATGCTGCCGGGAGGGGAGAGAGCGGGTGAAGGCAGCAGGAGCAGCTGTGCCCCAGCCTTGCCTTGTCTGCCAGCAGCAGGCGCTGGTCTACAGGACCCCGTTCTGGATTGACTGGGCCCAGCCTGTAACCCGCCTTGGTCCCGATGACAGCCTGCTCTGGTCTCGCTCCCGTCCCCGACTGGTTCAGCCCCACTGTCCCAAACCCGACACTGCCCCTCGGCTCCAGCAGCTGCTTCCCCCTGGGGACAGTGCTCCCAGCCCCAGACCACCCATCCACACCACCTGGCCCTGCTCACCTGCTCTGGGGATCCTCCTCATGGAGAACGAGTCGTGTCAAATGGTCCACAGCTAAGTCCAGGTCTGAGGCCACCAGAAGCCCTGTCCCAGGAGATCAGATGTAGCCCAGTGGGGAACAACCCGTCACCCAACTCCACCCCCAGCCCCGCCAGGACCCTGCCTGGCGCTGAGGGAGACCCCACCCCTACCCAGAGTACAGGACACCCACCTGGGAGCGCGCCCAGCACGGTCAGGGCCCGGACACCCACTACCTGCAGCTGCACGCTGGGGTCCATCAGTGCCGAGAACACCACGGAGCACAGCGGGGCACGGACGCCCAGCAGGACGGTCTCGTCTGCGGACACATGGACGCAGAATCACCGGGACGCAGGCCTTTGGGGTGGTGCTGTGCTGCAGTCACCTCGGGGGGGCAGGAGAGGGGGGGAGCAGGGGGTGGCAGGCGACGGCTTGGTGCGGGTCTGAGCCATGGGCAGAACCCTGTCACTCACCGCCCTCCTCGTGCCCCCACTTCTGCAGCAGCTCCAGGAAGCCCAGCAGCATCTCCAGGATCGTCCTCCGCTGGCTGCTCTGCACAGGAGCCAAGACCGGGCCCGGGTTACAGCCCCGCCAGGATGGGGCTCAGCACCGGTGCGGGAGCGGGGGGTGCTCTAGCTCCAACAACCTTGCCACCAACCCGGGGGCAGAGAAAGGCATCGTGGGGCCAAGCCCTGCAGAGACCCCCCAGACCAGAGAAGGACCCTGATGCTGGCACCTTGCTGCATACTCCCCCGTGGGGCCGTGTGACCCCAGAGGAACCGATGCTGCCGGGCGGCACTCACCTGGGGGTGCTGGTTGTACTGCTCCAGCAGCAGGGGCAGGACGCTGCCAGCGATGTGGTGATAGGCCCGGAGTGAGGCGCTGGCTGCGGCCTGCAACAGCTTGGCACTTGGCCACACCAGCTTCATGTCAGGCTCGCACAGATGGTGCCGGCAGTCTGGGGACGCACACACGGCACCTCAGCCATGGGGTGCATGCGCACACAGGTACACATGCCTGCCAGCTCACGGCCACAGAGCCAGGGACAGCTCAGCCTGGCCGCGGCCCACCCTGTGTAAGGCATCACACCGGGTCAGCCCCTTCCCCAAGCTGGCACCAGCAACTGCCATGCAGCCGGGACACAGTTACCTTGCAGCACACTGCTGAGAAAGGTGTCCAGCAGGTCGTGGGTGTCGGCGTGGAGCACGGCGTGGGACAGGCAGGCGGCCAGTGCTGTCAGTGCACCCAGGCACTCTGCCTCCAGCTTCTCGCTCGCTGTCTGGAACACCTGGGGGTAGGGGTGGGGGCAGCTGCGGGGCCCAGGCCTACACAGACCGTGTACCCCACGCCCCAGGACAGGGGCCACAGCCCAAGCCCCCACTGTAGCCTCCTGACCCACCTGACGTGGGCTGCCCCCCACCTCTGGCAGGGACCCTGCCGGCCTCACTCACCTCCCGGCGCAGGGAAGCCCAGAGGCTGGGCAGGAACTCCTGCAGCTCCTTGGGCCCGTAGATGGCACAGCAGGCACTCTGCAGGGCACAGCGGGCGCGGAGTGAGGGTGCCGGCCCTGCTGGGGCTCTGGGGCCCCTGGCGGGGTGGGTGGGTGGGAACAATGCTCACCAGGGTTTGCACGGCGTCCAGCTTGGCGCTCTGCAGCTCCGAGTCCATTTTCTCGATGAGAAGCGGCAAAAGGAACTGCGGGGATGGGCTTAGTCTCAGGGTCCTGGCTCCAGCTGGGGCCTCGGGTGGCTGCTGCCTGGTGCTCCCAGACGCTGCTCCTCAGCCTGGTGCCCAGTGCCAGCCTGGCCCGTCAGACCCTCCTCCCACCACTGAGCAGCAGCGAAGGAGCTGAGCAGACGGCACGAGGGTGCCTGAGCGCTGGAGCGCAGCTGGTGCCCGGAGCCGAGTGTCCCAGCCCCCCACCGCACGCTGCAGCCCTCCTGCCCTGCGCAGCTCCGCACCCCCACTGGCACATCTCACCTCAGCGAACTGGGGCGTGGAGGCCAGCACGGCGCGGAGGCTGACGATCAGATCTTCCCGCTGGATGCCGTGGGGGTCGTTGGGGGGCTGCAACAGAAGCGCAAGGAGCCCAGGGCTCAGCAGAGGCTCCTGGTGCGGTGCCTGGTCCAGCACAGGCGCCAGGGGCGAGGCTGGGACATGCGAGACCTGCCCCCGCCTCGGGTGCTGAGACCCTCTGGACAGCTCCCAGCCCCGGCTCCCTCTTGCGGAAGGGCAGGTCTGGTTTGGGGCCGCGGCTCCGGATAGACTCGCTCACCGGGGTGAAGTCGATGGGGAAGTAGCAGGACGTCACCTCAAACAGCTCCTCCACAAAGGGGCCTGCGAGAGAGAGCAGAGCCGCAAGCTGAGCGCCAGCCACAGCCGCCTGGGCCCAGGCCCCAGAGCAGCGCGGTGGACCCGGCACTGGGCAGCCCGGAGGGGTTGGCGGCGCCTGGTGGGGCAGGGGCCCTCACCGAGCGCGTAGCCCTTGAGAACGAGGTCGTGGACGATCTGGAAGGCGACCAGCAAGTTGCGCGGGTCCTTCTCGCCGTCCATCACCTGGATGAAGCCGAAGGTGAAGTCGGTGCCGAGGCTCTTCAGCTCTGCAGGGACGGGAGCAAACATGGGGCTCACTCAGGGCCTGGCACCCCAGCACCGCCCCCCCCCCCCAGAGGCCTGGGCCCGCACCTTCCTCCCGCGTCCGCATGAAGTTGGTGATGATGGTGTAGACCGTGTGCCGATCCAGCTGCAGCAGCGACTGCGGGGCAGAGAGGTGTCAGCGCGACCCGGACCGCGCCCGAGCAGAGCAGCACCCTGCGGCTCGGCGCCTGCAGCCCACAGCAACAGCCCGTCCCCGCACACGCAGCACACGCCTGGGAGTGCGTGCGGAGCACAACACATGTCGCTGTGGGTCCCAGGGACGGCCACGCGTGCGCTGCTGGACACACTGCATCCCAGCGGCTGAAGGGGACGTGGGGGCTGCTCACCTGCACGTGCACCTCCTGGAAGACGGCCTTGAGCACCGACACGGCCAGGCCTGGGGCCAGCGCCTCACTCAGGCTCTGCGGACAGAGCACGCGCGGCTGAGGGCCCTTCCTGCCCCGCGCCCCTGGGTGGGGTGGGACGGGGCTGGGGCCGGGGC